GCACTCTGGCCACAGAAATTCGGACCCAGAAAGAAGAGTACTTGAGGACTAGTTCATCCAAGGTCTCCATTGCACTGGAAGGGAACCAAGAGCCAAAGAGGAACAGAAGTGGGTAAAATCGTTCTGATTCTGTGTGTCTGAGGGTGCCACGAAGGAAATCTAATCGAACCAGCTCTAGGCCACAAAGAATTAAGGGAGGAGCTCCAGGCAGACGCTGGCAGAAGGGAGTAGTACAGCATGGATGATGTCACCTGATGGATCCCACTGGATGACTAAGCTGCAGTAAACGGAGCCTTGCCAGCCTCAGTTTCCGTATCTGGAAAACAGTAACAGCCTCTGTCACCATGTCATTGTGGGGATTAAATGGCAGCCAGGAAGAAACTGACAGCTGTGTGACACTCTCCTCAGACAGTACTGATTCCTCCTCCTTCACAACCTAGGCAGTGGCCTCTGGAACCCCCCCCCCACTCTCCCCATTCATTTCTCAACAGCTCTCCTCCTGCCAGCCATGAGCCTGCTCCCCCTCACTCACCCCACACACCCTGACCCCGACTCAAGATTCCTAGAAAAACAGTGAGACTTCACAACGACCAGCCCCTTTGAGGTGGTCCAGAGTGTCAGATCAGGGGAGGGAGAGGGTGGGTAGATCTAAGTTTGTCAGAACTGTGCTTTCACTAAGAGGTGAGGGCAGAACACCTGTCAGACAGAGGCCCACCCTTCACCTCTTCTGACTGAGAAGGTGAGCACCCTTAGAAGTAGACAAGTTGGGCAACCCAGCATCACATTCTCCGCGTCTTAGTCATTGTCCCTTACTCAGGGGACCCAAGGGAGACACAAGCTGAGGGGGCCGCACTGGGACCACTTGCTTTCTTGTTGCTGTCTACACAAAGAGGGGTTGTGAGGTCCTTCAAGAAACTTGATAGAAAAGCAGCAGTGCAAGTGTGTGCATGCAAACACACACACACACCACACATACACACACACACACACTCTCTCTCTCTCTCTCTCTCTCTCTCTCTCTCTCTCTCTCTCTCTCTCTCTCTAAAACAATCCCAATGCAGAGGTAGGTCAACTGGCCAGCAACTTCCCCACAGGGCATTCACACCCCCCCCCAATCATTCCTCCCTGAGGGTCCATCAAGACATTTCTTTTGTACTTTGCCCAGAAAGAAAGTAAATATTTTTCAATGAAATTCAGCAATCAATTAAACACCGTCTCTCTTTAATGCGAACGTTGAACCAACAGCGGCTGCACATTCCAACAAGAATATTTAAAGCAATTAAACTTTAGCTACTTTTAAAACAAATTCTTTTAAATGCTAATGACCATTGTTTTCGCACTTCATAAGTAAAATTTTGTGTCGAGCAAGGTTAGATGATTGCGATGATTTAATTGTACTTCTCAAAGAAGAGAAAATGTTAAGAAAAAAGCTAAGATGGACCTCTTACCACATCCCTACCACAAAATGTCCTGTAACAATAGCAGCGTGATTTGCTGAAATTAAAATGCTATTATGGTGAAATTAGGGCTTCAATATTTTTAGCAGCCTTAATAGGCCTTGCATTTTAAGGGACATCTGATAATAGATAATTACATTTCATCTTAAAGAAACTGAGTTGTTTTCTTAAGGAAAATACTTTTCTTTCTTCCAGAGAGGTTAAAGCTGAACCATCATTAGAAGCAGCTCGGAGCTCGAGGTTCCTGCTTCGGCTTGGGAAATAGAGATTAGCATATAAATAGCCTTCGGAGCCTGCTTGATTCCAGCTATTTTGCGTTTCAATGTGGCATCAGAATGCACTTAGCAAGAAATGTTCGAGAGGAGAAAGAGGTTTGTAATACGTCGCTTTTATAGAGGGGGGAACTTTAAGTATAAAAGATCATCCACTCTTCTGTGGGCTTTTTTTTCCGTATCCTTTCAATGCCCCAATTACAGACTCCAAGGAGCCAACAGGCCCCCTAGAATGGATCCTTAGTTTACACCGCAGTTTTTCTCTGGACTGAGAAAATAAGTCCAAATGGCCCACAGGAAATAAGACAAATATTCGGGTTTCCTTCTGGGTGCGGTAAGGGTCCTGGGGGGCACATGGTGCCCTTTATCCTCACCCTCCTGCTACCCATCAGCAGTGGGGACGTGCGAGGCTCCTCCAGGCCCCATTTGCTGGAGCAATGAGGGAGACTCCTGGCTTGCTGCCGGAGGCTGGTTTCCCTCCTGGGAAATCTCCGGGACTGGGCATGGAGCCTGAGGGTCTCTCTGCTCCCCTCTGCATTCCCAACTCCTGCCAACACACACACACACACACACACACACACACACACACACACACACACACACGGTCTTCTATTGTAGGTAAATCTTGAGCACAGGGCACTGGGCAGCATGCTCCAGCTCAGCTGTTTGCAGGGTGCCGGGGAGGCCGTGGGTGAATGACATGGTTTTTCCTGAATGCTGCACTAGGAGAGGAATGTGAACCAAGCACCAACACCTCAGTCTACTTCCTAGGGTGGCTTTCAGATGGAAATAGGAACCCCCACTGGGACAGAGAAGACAAGCTCTCAGCTCTTGATCCATAACCATATTACTCACCAAGAGTCTCTCTTCTCCCTTGTCAATGCAGAGCCTTGGGTTCATGTCCAGGCTCCCCAGTTAGGTTGTTGCATGTGTAGGAGTAGAAGAAAAGGAAAGCCCCTTCCTACCCATCTAGAAGAACATGGATACTTTCCTATCATAAAGGAAAGGTGACACTCAGGAGGTAAGGAGATCTCTGGGAGTTCAAGACCAGCCTTGTCTGCATAGCAACTTCCAGGCCAGCCAGGGCTACACAGTGAGACATTGTCTCAAAATAAGTAAATAAACAGAAAGGAAGGGAGGAAGGGAAGGAAAGTCTGCTGCGTGGCCTGTGTCCGAGAACGTGCGGAGGGTGTCGGGTATTGACAACACAGAGACTCGTTTAATGATATAAAGAAAACTTTAAACAGGCTCCAAAAAGGTTCAAGAAAAACTTCCTAAGAAAAGCTCCCACCAGAGAAGCTTCTGCTCTCTCCTCTACCCTCGCTGGTTCTGCTCTGACACCAGAGGTGGATGTGTGTGGGTTTTTGAAGGTGCGGTTAGTCTCTGGACAAGGTCGAGGTCAGGGCGGTTTCCGTGGGAAGGCCTTTCCCAGGAACTTATTGTATCATTTTTAGTAAACATGTTTTTACTAAACATTGTCTTACAGCTGCCTACTCCCAGGCAGAAGGGGAAGTGGGTCTCTGCTCAAGGTCTGGTGTTCCCACAGAAAGGTGTTCTGGCTTGTTTCTATTGCTGTGATAAACACCAGGACCAAATGCAACTTAGGGAGGAGAGGGCTTATTTCATCTTACAGCTCTTAGATCACAGTTCATCTCTTAGGAAGTCAGGGCAGGACTCAAGACAGGAGGCAGGAACTGAAACAGAAGCCAGGGGCGATGTTTATTGGCTCCATCTCCCTGGCTTGCTCAGCCTGCTTTCTTATACAACCCAAGACCACCTGTCCAGGGGGCACTAACCACCATGGGGTGCCCCCCACATACACACACATCCGTCACTGATCAAGAAAATGCCCCCCATAAACTTGCCTACAGAACAATATGGAGGAGTCTTTTTCTCATTTTCCTTTTCCAAAATGATCCTAGCTTGTATCAAGTTGACAAAAAAAACAAAAAACAAAAAACAAACAAAAAAAAAAAAACCAACCAGCCTGACAAGTTACAATAGAAAAGTAACAAAAAGCACATGAAGGCCAAAATAAACCACAACCACACATGCGCAGATCTGGGGCCAAGCAAGTGTCTTGGGCTATTTTCAGTTGCTTTGAAAATCATTCATTCTCTACTGCTGTGTCATCATTCTGACTGTCAAAACCTTTAAGGTGTATCTTACCCATGTCCACTAGCTTTCACCAATCTAAAAGCTAAGAATGCTGTCAGTACCTTAAATCTACAGCAGAGCTGTCCCTGCTGTGCTGTGAGCCACCCACCTGCAGTCCCCACCAATGTATTTGATTTATGACTTTCTTTGTTCTGTGACTAATAAAACATCATGTGACCACTTCCATGGTAGAACCTGTGTTTTACCTATATCCACTCACATTTGGCTAAAAAAAAAAAAACTGTCTCTTATTCCTTTTGAGGTAAGAGCTGTGCCTTGTATCAACATGAATTTATTTGATCATAGTTTTTATATGACACCAGACCCTTCAGATTGAAATCAAGGCTCAAAGAGCCAGAGCGAATGCTTTGGTTCGATGAAGCACGGTAGAGACATGATTGGACAAAAGGGGTGTTATTACAAGAGGCAACCTGTCTGTCCAGACCCTTCTTGGAGTAGTAGTATTTACTAAAGATTTCTTTTTACGTGTATGAGTATTTCCCTTAATGTATGTGTGTGTACCACATGTGTACAGTTCCTAAAGAGTCCACAGAGGCATTCAATCTCCTGGAACAAGATTTACCGACAGTTGTGAGCCACCATGTGGTGTTAAAACTGAACTTGGGTCCTTCATGAGGACAACAAATGCTCTTTGCCATCTCTCCAACCCCATGGTAGCCTTTCTTCCTCCATGATGTGTGGCTGGGCTCTGCAATGAAGTTCTTAATTCCTCTATGGCCCAGCTCTTACACAGAGAGGCAGGTGAAAGTTAGAGTGTATTTTTCGGGTTCATGACTGGCTTAGGGGAAAGTGGCTCTGGCTCCTGTTGACATAGGAGTTAGCTCTCCTTAGACACTAACTGGTCACATCTGACCACTCCCTTGACTGAACAAGTAACATATGAAGACCTCTCAGTGGGGCCTAGGGAGTGTTCATAGTGCAGGACTGCCTTACTGGCAGAATCCAGGATGAGATTAAAAATGACCAACACCCATAAAGATAACCTCAGTCTTCATCCAGTTGCCAACATAAGACCCATAAAGGGCCACTGAGCATGCCAGCATAGAGACATTCCTACCTTAGAGCCCCTTCTACTCTCAGGAGTTTTTCTCACCTTTTCTTAACAAGTCTCCATTCCCTTGGTTCACTCCTTGTCGGTGTTTGTTTTATTTTTCTTGGGCAGCAGACAATGAACTCACAAGCCACTGGCTCAGAGTGGCTTTGGGGACCCTCAGGCACCCTAGCTCCCTGAGTTAAGCTCCCTGAGAGCTGGGAAAGGCTCTACCTCTCTCAAATAACCCCACCCCACCATTATGACTCACCTTGGGGACAGCAATTCAGTTTCTTTGCTTGCTTCAGGCGAGAATGGGGGTGTAAGATGGGAAAGCCAGAGAGAAGCATTGCTTTTAAGGCTTCCACTTTGGGTGTCACCTTTTGAGCCCCACAGACACACGGTATGCCTGTCCTAAGCTGGGGTTCCCTCGTTGTTAACAGAACTGTAAGCCCTACCCTGTGGGCACACGTGCTAAGACAGGAAGAAAGCAGAAAGGGAAGAGGAAGAGCCTTGTGTGCTCCTCCCACTATAGAACTATGCTGTTAGGACATTTGTGTCCTTCCTGTATCATCCTTTAGTACAGGTCTAGGTCCCTGTTCATCCAGCCTAGCACTCCCTCAGGCTCCCCACCTGGAGTGAGGGAGTAAGGAACAAATACTCTAGCAAGAAGCTGGTGAGTCAAAGCAAGTTGCCTACCTGGATTGTTTGAAGAGAATGAGGCAGGGGCTAAGGAGTGGTCCAGAGTCTCATCCCAACTCTTTACAGCTCCTCAAGCCCTCTTCTATCCCTCAGATCCAGCCACCTCTTCACATGGATCCCCGAGGCTCCTGTCACAGCCTTCTAGGAGATACCGGATTTGGGGACTCCCTTCCCCATTGCTCTCATCCACAAGAAGGGACACTGAAGTGGAACCAATCTCTGTTCTCACCCCTAAAGCCTACTTACTCTTCTTCCTAAATTGCCTGCATCCTCACTTCTGTCTGTTTTAGTTACTTTTCTGTGACTGGAATAAGACACTGTGACCAACAGGCTCACAGTTTCAGAGGGTAAGTGTCCCTGACCATCCTGGCAGGTAGCATGGCAGCAAGCAGGCATGACACTGGAGCCACAGTTAAGGGTTCACATCGAATCTGGAGGTACAAGGCAAATAGAGAGATACTGGGAAGAGCATTGAGTCTTTTGAAACATCAAAGCTTGCCCGAGTGATATATCTCCTACTGGGAACCAAGTATTCAAATGTATGAGCTTATATGGGTCATTCTCATTTAGACAACTATACCTTTCCCCTAGAGACCAACGTAGAAGCTTCTAAATCTCATAGGATAGATGGCTGCATAGTCATTCAATGTAACACATGCTTGGTGTGTCCCACTAAACTCTCAAATACTGAGCCAATGGAGGGAAAGAGGTTCTTCTGCTTCTAACCTGGGCTGTTAGACTGCTAAGACCCTGCCACTTTTCACCTCTTTCTCCCAGGGAGCATTGCACATCCAAAGCCAGCATCCTTCATCATGGGAAAATGCCCTGCTATGTATGGGTACTCCATGGCTTTATGAAAGTGGCCCCAGGATATGCAGAATCCTTTCAACCTGCAGACTCCAGGAGTCATCATCATCATGGAAGGACCGTGATCACTTTTACAGAAGCTCTGGGAAACCTAGGAGGTCTGGCCTGGCTGCATTAGATGTGTCTCCCCTGGGCTCTTTCAGGGAAAGGTGTTCATATGTACAGCTTTATTCCTTTCCCCAACTTGGTATTAACAGACTGAAAAAAAAATGGTAACTTTTGGCTCTGTGCATGAAGACTTTCCACCCCAAACAACTAAGAGTTTACAACAAAGGGCATTCCTTAAGGAAAACTGATGTGACTGTGGTGGTTTGAATGTTATTGACCCCCATACTCTCATAGAAAGTGGTTCTGTTAGGAGGTGTGGCTTTGTCAGAGTGGGTATGGCCTTGTTGGAGGGAGTCTGTCACTGTGGGGGTGGGCTTTGAGGTGTCCTATGCTCAGAATACCACCCAGTGTCACAGTCCACATCCTATTTCCTGCAATGTGTAGCACTCTCAGCTCCAGTACCATCTGCCTGTACGCCACCACGCTTCCCGTCATGATGATAATGGACTGAACCTCTGAAACTGTAAGTGAGCCTCCCCAATTAAATGTTTCATTATAAGAGTTTCCATGGTCATGGTGTCTCTTCACAGCAATAGAAACCCTAACTAAGACAGTGATGTACCAGCAAGGCAGCCAGAGGGAGAGTAGACTCAGCCAAGACTCTGAGTATCTGCTCGGCTGATCCTCGTTGGACAATGCCCACATAAAATCAATTGAACAGAATCCCCTTAAACCTTAGCCAAAATAAATGCCTCTGTCAGGTGTGTGTGTGTGTGTGTGTGTGTGTGTGTGTGTGTGTGTGTCCATGTGTCCCTTGCCAAACACATTTTTAGGATATAGACATGGAAAGTACTGAATAGCTCTTTCTTTTTTTAAAATTTATTTAATTTTTTATTTTACTTTATTGCATTGGTGTTTTGTTTGTGTGAGGGTGTCAGATCTTCTGGAACTGTAGTCACAGACAGTAGTGAGATGTCATGTGGGTGCTGGAAATTGAACCCTGGAAGAGCAGTTAGTGCTCTTAACCTTTGAGTTATCTCTCCAGCTCCCGCATAGCTCTTTCTAAAGTGTAGAGAACATTTCACTCTTAGGCACCTCAGTTCCTTTACCCCATCTAGTTAGATAAACAATCAAGGTCACAGAATATGTGATGGGGGAAGTTCTTCTGTATGCTGCAAATATGTGTTGTTTTCATTGGTTGATGAATAAAGCTGTTTTGGCCAATGGACAGGCAGGATTTAGCTAGGCAGGAATTATGAACAAGGAGACAGGGAAAAGAAAGATAAAGACAGGCTACAGACACCATGTAGCCGTCAGGGAGGTAGGACGTCCAGGCATTCTCTAGTAAGATAAGGTCATGTGGAGATAAGCAGTTTAATACTTATGGGTTAATAATTAAGAAAGAGCTAGCTAGTAAGCAGACTAAGCCATTGGCTAGACAATATATTAAGTCTCTGAGTGTTTATTTCATTAAGCAGCTGTAGGATCTGGTGGGTAGAAAGAAAACAGACTCAATGTGACCCAGACTAGACAAGAGGGCCCAGAAGCTTGTCTCAGGGGTTTAAATATCACAGTCCACTCATGCAAGAAAAGACCTATGCCTACAGAAAGACACCTTTGCTTTGGCTGTAATTGTTTCAGTTCATGTCCTAGCATTCTCTTATGTTGCCCTGACGTTTTCAAGCTGCAGTTTGGTAGATCTCTGAAAAAAAATGGTAGGGAGCAAATTGGTGATCACATAATAATGTGAATATTTTGGGAAGATAAAACCTGTCACAACATAAGTGCAGAGAAGTTGGGTAACAACAGATCAGACACCCCAGAGGTTGAAAGTGATGGTTTCTCACTGAGAACCCAGCTCAGGACTGCTATGGAGGCTGCTCAAACATACATCTGTTCATCCCCTCCTATCTGGCTCTTATAGAGACTCACTACCCAAACTCTCCATTCACAATCAAAGGACTGCTGCCAAGTCAATGCTTCTCTCTTTCAATCTTTACTCTGAGAAGTTTTCATTCATTTTATTGAATTCCTTCCTTTTTGCCTGGTGTGTTCCAGGGTAGCAGCTGACCAAGACATTTCTGCCATTCTAAACTGTCATGAAAATCATTTCCCTAGTGCTCCCTTCAAATTAGATGGTTCTATCACCCTCAGCGAAGGACCAAACTCCACAGCCTCCTTGGGAAACCAAGAGCAACCTGTCAGAACAGGTGGATAAGTCTCCCGGTCAAGACATCCAGACAGGGGTTACTGACTCCCTCCCCATTTTCCCACCTGCAGCATGACACCTGGCATGCTCATCAGCTCACGTGGTGGGACAGAGTCTCCCCATCTCTCTCCTCTACTCACCATGGCCTATCAGCCAGTTCTTTCCACTCAACTTCCCAAGCCACCCCTTCCCCACTGTTCCCACCAAGTCTAAGTGTCCCACCCCGCAGATCACCCAGTTCATCTCGTTTCTCCTACTCAGCCGTGGTCCAACACAAGGCAGTCGTGGCCAACCCACCATTGGAAAAACATCCTGCCTACTGCTATGCTCAGAACCCTTCCTACCAGAACTCAAGCTGAGACCTAATTTTCCTGTCCACTTCTGTTTCCCTAACACAGCACAGCCCTGCATAGGCTAGGTGCCCGGTGAGTGCCAGTTACACGAAGGAATCAAGTATAATAACCTTAATTGTAGACAATTAAAATCATCTGTTACACATGCAAAAATGGCCCTATATCTTCTTTAGCTGTGAGTTGGTTGTTTGCTTGCTTGCAATTCTAATGTTAGTCTTCATCTGAGATGTTAGTATATCCAGACTCTAAGCAATTTATCTCTCCTCTGCCCCCCAGTATCCGAGACAAAATAAAAGGCTTTGCGACTTGCATGCATTGAGGCACCACACTTCAGTTCTGTGGCTTGAGAACAGAAGGAGACTACAGTGATTGAATTGGACAGTTTCCGTCTCTATTATTTTAATTATAAACATAAACTATTTTGGGGGTAAAAGAATCAAATGGAAATCTGCCTATCAATTTCACAATTAACATCCCATTTCAAGAGACCAATCAACTCAGATGAGGGCCAGTGACCTTAATCTTTCCCCAAATACGCTGCTTGATTCCTCTCATTAGTTGAAAAATCTCCAAACTATGAAATATCTGGTTTAACCCCATGACAGTGTCAATGATGCCCCTGCCGTATCTAAATAAGTCCTGGGATCTCGGTGACCTTTGTGACATGGTTTGTATGGGTGGAAGTGAGAAGGCAAATGCTGTGCCAATTGAATGGCAGAAGTCACAAGGCCACCTTGATTTTTTCATTTATTTGTCTAAGACCGTGGAAAGATGTACAGTCACTGGGGGGGAACTTTTTTCACCACTAATTAGTAAAGATTAACCCAGAAGGGTAATAAAGCCAGAGACAGTGCATTTAATCAGGAAGTTCTGTGGAATTTTCAATTGGAAAGAAAAATTCATTGTGATTTTTTATTATGTTTTAAAGATCTACTTTATCATTGCTTTTAATTGTGGGTATGTGGGCTGCATATGGGTGTCTTAATTAGGGTTACTATTGCTGTGATGAAACAGCATGACCAAGGCAAGCTGGGGAGGAAAGGGTTAATTTGGCTTAGGCTTCCTCACTGAAAGAAGTTGGGACAGGAATTCAAGCAGGGCAGGAACCTGGGTTGGAGCTGATTCAGAGGCCATGGAGGGGAGTTACTTACTATCTAGCTCCCTATGGCTTGTTCAGTTTGCTTTCTTATAGAACCCAGGACCACCAGCCGGGGCGGATGGCACTATCCATAATGAGCTAGGACTTCCCCATGGATCACTCAGAAACTGCCCTACAGCTTTGCCTACAGCCAATTGAAGCTCCTTCCTCTCTGATGATACTAGCTTGTGTCAGGTTGACATAAAACTAGCCATCACAGTGGATATCCATACATAAGTGCCAATGCCTGCCAAATCCAGACGAATCAGAGCCCTCTGAAGTCAGAGTTTCAGGCACCTGATAGGGACGCTGGGAATCAAACTCTGCAAACCTGCTCCCGATCACTGAACCACCTCTCCAGCCCTAGGTAATGCTTTCTTCTTTTGAAGAGGGTCTTACTATATAGCTGTGACTGACCTGGAACCCATCACTGACTGTGCCGGCAGGGGACAGTCAACATAGACCGGGAACACCTAGGAGAAAATGAAGAACAGGGGGTACAGAACAGATGGCAAGACAAGATTCTGATCAAGCCAACAACCTTTGTTCATCCCAAAGGGATTTTTATAAGACCATAGGCGGGAAGTGAGGAGGGAAGGGAATGGGGTGTTAACTGCAGCTGTGATGAGCCTGGCGGAGCAGAGGTCAGAGGGAGGGTTAGGCCATCCTGTGTCACCTGGTAACCTAACTGCCAGTTCTAACTTTACCTTTCACAATCTACCCTCTATTGCTCAAGCCTATGCCCGAGTGACTTGGTAATTTTCACTAGGCGGATAACTTGCTTCCTATCTTAAGAGGCGGTATTTCTACAGTATGTCCTGGAGTCACGTCTTCTCTATGAGAAGGGTGTGATAATGCAATGGCTGGATTATGGTGGAGGTCCCGACACATCATGTAGGTTTTGAACTCTCAAAGACCTTCCTGCCTCTGCCACCTTGATGCTGGAATTTAAAATGTGCAACACCTTGCCTGACTGGGAAGGTTAGAAGTAGGGGTGGGGTCAGGGAGGTGATTCAGCTGGTAAAGTACCTGAAGGACTAGTTTAATCATCAGAAGTCTCATTTAAAAAGTTGTACATGGTAGTCCATACCATATCCCTAGCACTGAGGAGGCTGAGACAGGAGGATCTCTGGGGCTTATTGACCTGTCAGTCTAGCCTAATTGCTGAGCTGCAGGCCAGTAAGAGAGCCTGCCTCAAAGGAAATAGACACATTACTGAAGATGATTCCTGCGATTGCCCTCCAGCCTCCACATGCAGCCCACACACAAGCACCCACACACTCACACATGTGCACCCATACACATGCACAATCATTCACAAGCACACACAGATGCACACCCCTTCACCAGCACCCACACACTCACACATGTGCACCCATACACATGCACAATCATTCACAAGCACACACAGATGCACACCCCTTCACCAGCACCCACACACATGCACACCCCTTCACCAGCACCCACACACATGCATACCCTTTCACAAGCACACACACACACATATGTACACCCCTACA